TCAGCCATACAGATGGGAGGCAGAAAAGTTTGTCTATAGTGGTTAAATGTAAGCTGTTTGGTCTTGGAGGCAAAAGTGTGTGTGTGTGTGTGTGTGTGTGTGTGTGTGTGTGTGTGTGTGTGTGTGTGTGTGTGTGTCCGCGCGCGTGTGTGTGCTCGTGCGCGCGGAAGAAAGTGAATAACATATATGATTCTATATGAGAACAATGGTGCGTAACTGAAAGGCAAAACAAAAAATCATATATGAGATTCTTCCTTCAAAACGATAGATAGATAGATAGATAGATAGATAGATAGATAGATAGATAGATAGATAGAATCAGACTGAGACAGATAGAAAGAATTAGACTGAGATAGATAGATAGATAGATAGATAGATAGATAGATAGATATGAACAGATATGAACAGATAGATAGATAGATAGATAGATAGATAGATAGATAGATAGATAGATAGATATGAACAGATCGAGATAGATATGAATAGATCGAGATAGATTGATTGAAAGTGAGATAGATAGATAGATAGATAGATATGAACAGATCGGGATAGATAGATTGATTCAAAGTGAGATAGATGGATAGATATGAAAAGAGATAGATAGATAGATAGATAGATAGATAGATAGATAGATAGATAGATAGATTCAAAGTGAGATAGATAGATATGAACAGACATAGATAGATAGATAGATAGATAGATTCAAAGAGATAGATAGATAGATAGATAGATAGATAGATAGATAGATAGATAGATAGATTCAAAGAGATAGATAGATAGATAGATAGATAGATAGATAGATAGATAGATAGATAGATAGATGAGGCGGGACGGTGAGGAGAATGACATAGGTGGGTGAGGGGGTACTCTCGGTCAACACAATTGTAAAGATGCCTGAAATACAAAGTCATAAGTTTAAATAATTGTTCGCCTTTTTCTCGCTAACATGACGCCGGGTGTATTTCCTGTCATATGCAAAGACCGCGTGTTGCGGTAAGACACAGACAACGCCCATCCGAAAGCTTCATTATATCCTACCCTATCCCATCCCATATATATATATATATATATATATATATATGATTATTTGTTGAAAAAAAATAGCTATCTCGACTGCTGTTCTATTTTTCTATGTTTTTAATAATTTTTTCTGGTTTTACAACAAATTGACCGCAATCGACCCCACTAGTTGTAGTATATAGCTAAATGATTCGCGACAGGCATAGAACTGAAAATGTATGGGAAAGGTAACTCAGTTATAGAGACGAAAACTTGTTATTCACCTACACACATGTAGTCTTAATTCTACGCCTTGAAAAATTCTACCACACTTTAACTTTTTTTTAAAAATTTGTATATAGTGCTGTTACTGCTAAATCTAGTGCCATGAAGCCGTTGTGGCAACGGTAGCGACCTGTTCCCTACAGTTTTCTTTCTCTTGGCAGAGTCTCCGGAACATACCCCGGCCCCCAGATTAATCTGGCGGGACGTCCTGGCGTACAACGTCTTTTCAGCGACTGTATGGTCTGCTGCTGGTTTGTCGTCAAGTTTGCAGATGGCGTGTCGAACTAACAGGTAACTCTGGTAGAGTCATCGTCAGGTCGTCCCAGGATGTTTTCGGCGATGAGCGACGAAGCGGACGATGCGCGGCTGGACCTGTGCATCCGCCAACGCGAAGGTCTTGACGATGTGGGACTCGAAGCGACGTACTCTCAGAAAAAAGTAAAGTGTAGAATATATTTCAGAGGTTAAGGCACCAAATATTCAAACCTTTTCTTTTAGACAATAAGAAATCGATAAATTTTATCGAATGTAATCAGAATAAGTTTCCGAGGCTGAAACACAAAATATTCAAACTTTATCTTTTAGACAATAAGAAATCTATAAATTTTATCGAATGTAATCAGAATAAGTTTCCGAGGCTGAAACACAAAATATTCAAACTTTATCTTTTAGACAATAAGAAATCTATAAATTTTATCGAATGTAATCAGAATAAGATTCAGAGGCTGAAACACAAAATACTCAAACTTTATCTTTTACACAATAAGAAATCTATAAATTTTATCGAATGTAATCAGAATAAGATTCAGAGGCTGAAGCACAAAATACTCAAACGCTATCTTTTAGACAATAAGAAATCGATAAGTTTAATCGAATGCAATCAGAATACAGTTCAGAGCCCTAAATATAAAATATTCAAACTTTATCTTTTAGACAATAAGTAATCGATTAATTTTATCGAATGTAATCAGAATAAGTTTCAGAGGCTGAAACAGAAAATATTCAAACGTTATCATTTAGACAATAAAAAATAAACAAATTTTACCGAATTTAATCAGAATAAGTTTCAGAAATTGAAGCACAAACAATTCAAACGTTTCATTGGCAATAAGAAATCGATAACTTTTATCGAATGCATTCAAAATTCATTTTAGATGTTAAGTTTTGATTTGATTTGTTTTGTTTTCGGCATATCAACCTCAATGGTTTACTTAATGCCGACAAAATTTTTTATTGCTGGTAATATGTTTTTCTTCAAAAATCAATTTCTGGGAATATTTTTCCTTGAAGAAATCTATAGTTGGTCATATATTTTCCAAAGAATGTATAACTGTTTTTATTGCTGGTGCTTTTTTTTTTTTAAAAAGTGTTGCTGATGATAATTTTTCCTTCAAAATTATTGATGGTAATAAATTTTTTATTACAAGGTATTTCTGGTATTAAAACCTATTTTTACACAAGTTTGCTTTTCAACTATTTGCCAATAGCTGGGACTCTAACAGTTGCTACCACCCCGGGTCAGGGTGGACCTGGGAACGCCAGCAATTAAGAGGTGGTCCCACGCTCCTCAAAACATCATGATCAGAGGCCTTGCTGTTGGACGTAGTTTATCGTCTTACCCTGGACGCGAACGTAGTTTATCGTCATACCCAGGACGCGGATGTCGTTTATCGTCATACCCAGGACGGATTTTAGATGTGAAGATGCCAAATATTAAGATGATCTCATTGTAGCTATAAAGATGTCAATTTTAACTGATATAATTAAAATGTATGATATACATCTATTTAATAATTATTTATTCGCATATTTATTTTATCTAATCGGAAAACATCATTGATCATACATTTACTATAGGAAAAGAAAATGCTCAAATCGGATTGATGGAACAAGTTAGCCTAGGAGAGCACGCAATGTAAGAGAAGGAAAAGTTTATTTCAAACCTTTACCGAAGCCACATGGCTTATCTGAAGTGGGATCCAACCAAATTCTGGCATCTCCTGCAAGGAGACTGGCGCCAGACATGGAAATAGCGAAAGATATCTTCAAGAATACGGATATTAACAGAAAGGATATTTTCATTAGAATAAAATGGGGTTGAACTATAATTTCCTATCTATCGTCTTATGAATGAATGTTGTTCATTTTCCTTTCCAAATGAAGAAGACATGCGATGCAAGAGAAATCTACTTCTAGAGGACGATGCTGAGAATAACATAGGTAGAAGATGAGAGCAACGAGACAGTTTTAAAGAAAAATAGAACTAAATAAAAAATGGCAGTTGCTAAATTATGTAACATCAATCCTCCTCAATGGCGATGAATTATGGACAATCCCCTCATAGATGAAGAATAGACTTCAGGTAACAGAAACAAAGAAAAGGGTGCTGAACTGTTATATAATATCAGTCCTCCTATATGGCAGTGAATGATGGACAATCTCCTCACAGATGAAGAAGAGAGTTGAGGCAACAGAAACAAAGAAAAGGGTGCTGAAAGGTTATATAATATCAGTCCTCCTATATGGCAGTGAATGCTGGACAATCTCTTCTCAGATGAAGAAGAGACTTGAGGCAACAGAAACAAAGAAAAGGGTGCTGAACGGTTATATAATATCAGTCCTCCAATATGGCAGTAAATGCTGACAATCTCCTCACAGATGAAGAAGAGACTTGAGGCAACAGAAACAAAGAAAAGGCTGCTGAACGGTTATATAATATCAGTCCTCCTATATGGCAGTGAATGCTGGACAATCTCTTCTCAGATGAAGAAGAGACTTGAGGCAACAGAAACAAAGAAAAGAGTGCTGAACGGTTATATAATATCAGTCCTTCTATATGGCAGTGAATGCTGGACAATCTCTTCTCAGATGAAGAAGAGACTTGAGGCAACAGAAACAAAGAAAAGGGTGCTGAACGGTTATATAATATCAGTCCTCCAATATGGCAGTAAATGCTGACAATCTCCTCACAGATGAAGAAGAGACTTGAGGCAACAGAAACAAAGAAAAGGCTGCTGAACGGTTATATAATATCAGTCCTCCTATATGGCAGTGAATGCTGGACAATCTCTTCTCAGATGAAGAAGAGACTTGAGGCAACAGAAACAAAGAAAAGGCTGCTGAACGGTTATATAATATCAGTCCTCCAATATGGCAGTAAATGCTGACAATCTCCTCACAGATGAAGAAGAGACTTGAGGCAACAGAAACAAAGAAAAGGCTGCTGAACGGTTATATAATATCAGTCCTCCTATATGGCAGTGAATGCTGGACAATCTCTTCTCAGATGAAGAAGAGACTTGAGGCAACAGAAACAAAGAAAAGGGTGCTGAACGGTTATATAATATCAGTCCTCCAATATGGCAGTAAATGCTGACAATCTCCTCACAGATGAAGAAGAGACTTGAGGCAACAGAAACAAAGAAAAGCCTGCTGAACGGTTATATAATATCAGTCCTCCTATATGGCAGTGAATGCTGGACAATCTCTTCTCAGATGAAGAAGAGACTTGAGGCAACAGAAACAAAGAAAAAGGTGCTGAACGGTTATATAATATCAGTCCTCCTATATGGCAGTGAATGCTGGACAATCTCTTCTCAGATGAAGAAGAGACTTGAGGCAACAGAAACAAAGAAAAAGGTGCTGAACGGTTATATAATATCAGTCCTCCTATATGGCAATGAATGATGGACAATTGCATCACCCGCACATCCAAGCTTGCAGCACCAGCTACTGTCAAGTATTGACCCATCTAGGTACTGGCCAGGCTCGACATGGCTTAACTTCGGGGGTTGTACGGGAACCGGTGTTTCAACGATATATGGCCGTAAGCCTTAAGTATAGAAAGGAGGGTATAATATACTGAAATTACGTGATCGGACGGCACACCGGCGACAAAGGAGTATGGTAAAGAGCTACAAAGGACAAGAAGCTGTGGAGAGCTAAGATCGGCCACGCTCTGAAGAATATTTTGATATCGCTCATCATTTGTCTGGCTTTTATTTATTTAAAAAAATAATTTATTTTTCCGACAAATCATGGCCGATTGTTAATTGTATTATTATTTTTTCCGAAACTCCACTCGAACGGAATGTGGCACAAGGCCGTTTTTAAAGAGGGATACACAGTTACATGGACTAGGGAGAAAAACATCCGCTCCGAAATTTATTGAGATACCTCAAGCATCAGGGAGAAGGAGAACTATTGCTTGGGCGGGGGAAAGTCCCTGGGGTTTGAGTACATTGTATTAAATTTTAACCACGCTGGCTGGGCCACGGCCGATTGTTACCATCGTTGACATTACTCTCCTGATGGCGTCCCACGTGTCTTCATCCAAGCGTGACCTGGTTCGCTGCCTGCTCGTGGGAACTTTTTTTTTTTAAAAAGAAGAAATTGTGTATATCGAGCAATATTTACAAATTGGTATTTTATTATTGTTTATTTATTTTGTTGTTTTATCCGCTAACGCAAAGCATCATTCTTTTTCTTTTTTTTTTTTTTTTTTTTTTTTTGGTATTTATTTTATCCACCCGGAAATAATCAATGCTCATACGTTTACAAGCGTGCTTGTTAGGATGGGTGTGTTGGCGAGTGTTTGTTTACAAACAAAGCCCTGCTTGTTCGTCGGCCATCACTACTGGAGCGGCCGCGGGTACCGAAATATTTGTCAAAAACACCGAGATACCCGCCCAAGAGTTTGATTTTGAACATATTATAATTACGTATTTATAACATAATATGTTAGTTAATCCAACCGTCTGTTACGTAATTCAAACGACAACCCCCCCCAAAAAAACACATATTATCTATCTCTATCTATCCACCTATCTCTCTCTCTCTCTCTATATATATATATATATATATATATATATATATATATATATATCTTATTATAAAACGCAGATTGTGTGTGTGGTGTGTGTGTCTGTTCGTTTATATATTGGATCGGATTTCCTACATTTTTCTAACGATTTCAACAACATTTCACAGGACTACGTAAAATTACCTTGCGGTGGTTCTAAGTGCGCCAAAAATTAGAAAAACACAATTGTTTTTGCACGAAATCAATTTGAAAACACGATTAAGAGGCATCACAAGAATGAAAGGGGGACAACTCATATCGAGTTATACTTATAAAACCCAGGTTGTGTTTGTGTGTGTGTGTGTGTGTGTGTGTGTGTGTGTGTGTGTGTGTGTGTGTGTGTGTGTGTGTGTGTTCGTTTATATAAGGGATTGGATTTCCTACATTTTTCAAGCGATTTCAATAAAACTTCACTTTTTTTGGCAGGTAGTGTTTCTTATTGTCTTGGGCACTTTTTGCTTTGTTTCTAAATACAGAATGCTTTAAAAATTCCATTTACAAAACAATTGTTCGGCTACAAAGAATCATGGAAGATTGAAGTTTATAAGCAGTAAATTCGACCTTGTCTACCGAAGGCTCTTTTGTGGCCGAGTCGGTTAAGGCACGTCAGCGTAAATGACGGTTCCGTATAGTCTATAATGATGCCCAATGGACTACGCCATTTATCTACACTTCTTACCTGCGACTACGACACGTACCAGTCGATTACTGCTACCGTATTCTACTTGGTTCTTGTAGCCAAAACCACTTACCTACTTCGTTCAAATATATGCCTTTCCGGGACATATCAATATATATATATATATATATATATATATATATATATATATATATTATTATTAATTTATGACTTGTATTCGCCTTTCCCCCTTTGCCTTCAATCTGATCTGTTAATTTTGTTCCTTTACAGATACACTATATCCGAAAATAATACAAACACATATATAATATAAACACACAACACAGACATATATAAACACACATATTTATGTTTAACGTTGTTTTTTATAGATACAAGTATTTAAGTAAATGCTCTGTTTATGATAAACAGTATTAAATAACATTTACCGGCAACGAAAAATTTTCAGAGAAAATATTCGTTCTCCGACAGGAATCGAACCTGTATCCTATACGGAACCGTCATTTAGATTGACGTGCCTCTAACCGAATTATGTAATGAGTTTGAGTAAATGGATGGCAGAACAGAAGAAGATATTTACAAATGACAGGAAAGTCTGGGAAACCATGATCTCCAGTCTTCTTTTAGATCCGTCAATGGCTAATAAATTTGTAGATTTTTTTTTAGCAATATTTTGAATGACAGATGTAATGACGATGTATCATTCTATATCAGTCATGGGCTACATGCGATATGGCTCATCATAAAGCGAGCGAACTAATAAAAAAAATAGATAATAATAAGCATTTTTCGCTGAAAGTAAAACAGCCATTTTCCGTACGGATCATATGAGTTAGAAATGAAGAAAAAGATTTGCAAAGCGTGAAAGGGCAATAAGACAATAAGATGATTGAGGAAAGACGAGTCGGTTCAAGAAGACAGAGGATAGCGAATAACGTCGCATATAAATTTTTGATGGTTGTAGTTATCAGGGAAGCAATAAAAAGGAATGGTGTTCTGCAGGTGGGAAGTGCGAGAAAAGATTGGGACCTAGATGCCAATCTAGTAACACGCTTACATATATATGGTCATGGTAGCAGGGAATAAAAGTACTTCATGGCAGTTGCCATGAAAATATTTGTAGAAAATACAAAGTGAATCTACGTCACGACGGGGAAGACGGTATTCATGGTCAGAATCGATTACATTACAGATATGCCAACAGTAGCAGCCTTGAACTCATGTAGTTTGCGAGAATAAGACTGAAGCCGATATTAATGGTCAGAGTCGATTACATTACAGATAATTTTTTGGGTTTTATCAAGAATCTCGTGGTGTACATAAAAAAAAAACAGACCAGATATGCCAACAGTAGCACTCTTAAATTTATGGACTGGGTGAGAATATAACTGAAGTCGAGTCGATTACATTACAGATCCTTCTTTGGATTTTGTCAAGAATCTCGAGGTGTGCAACAGGAGAAACCAGACCAGATATGCCAACAGTAGAATTCTTAAATTCATGTAGTCGGTGAGAGTATGACTGAGGTCGAGATGCTTGGTCAGATTCGATTACATTACAGATCCTTCTTTGGATTTTGTCAAGAATCTCGAGGTATACAACAGGAGAAACCAGACCAGATATGCCAAGAGTAGCACTCTTAAATTCATGTAGTCGGTGAGAATATGACTGAAGTCGAAATACTTGGTCAGAATCAGATTACATTACAGATCCTTCTTTGGATTTTGTCAAGAATCACGAGGTGTACAACAAGAGAAACCAGACCAGATATGCCAACAGTAGCACTCTTCAATTCATGTAGTCGGTGAGAATATGACTGAAGTCGAGATACTTGGTCAGAATCAGATTACATTACAGATCCTTCTTTGGATTTTGTCAAGAATCTCGAGGTGTACAACAGGAGAAACCTGACCAGATATGCCAAGAGTAGCACTCTTAAATTCATGTAGTCGGTGAGAATATGACTGAAGTCGAGATGCTTGGTCAGAATCGATTATATTACAGATCCTTCTTTGGATTTTGTCAAGAATCTCGAGGTGTACAACAGGAGAAACCCGACCAGATATGCCAAGAGTAGCACTCTTAAATTCATGTCGTCGGTGAGAATATGACTGAAGTCGAGATACTTGGTCAGAATCAGATTACATTACAGATCCTTCTTTGGATTTTGTCAAGAATCTCGAGGTGTACAACAGGAGAAACCAGACCAGATATGCCAACAGTAGCACTCTTAAATTCATGTAGTCGGTGAGAATATGACTGAAGTCGAGATACTTGGTCAGAATCAGATTACATTACAGATCCTTCTTTGGATTTTGTCAAGAATCTCGAGGTGTACAACAGGAGAAACCCTGACCAGATATGCCAACAGTAGCACTCTTAAATTCATGTAGTCGGTGAGAATATGACTGAAGTCGAGATACTTGGTCAGAATCAGATTACATTACAGATCCTTCTTTGGATTTTGTCAAGAATCTCGAGGTGTACAACAGGAGAAACCAGACCAGATATGCCAAGAGTAGCACTCTTAAATTCATGTAGTCGGTGAGAATATGACTGAAGTCGAGATACTTCTCAGAATCAGATTACATTACAGATCCTTCTTTGGATTTTGTCAAGAATCTCGAGGTGTACAACAGGAGAAACCCGACCAGATATGCCAAGAGTAGCACTCTTAAATTCATGTAGTCGGTGAGAATATGACTGAAGTCGAGATACTTGGTCAGAATCAGATTACATTACAGATCCTTCTTTGGATTTTGTCAAGAATCTCGAGGTGTACAACAGGAGGAACCAGACCAGATATGCCAAGATTAGCACTCTTAAATTCATGTAGTCGGTGAGAATATGACTGAAGACGAGATGCTTGGTCAGAATCGATTACATTACAGATCCTTCTTTGGATTTTGTCAAGAATCTCGAGGTGTACAACAGGAGAAACCAGACCAGATATGCCAACAGTAGCACTCTTAAATTCATGTAGTCGGTGAGAATATGACTGAAGTCGTGATGCTTGGTTAGAATTGATTACATTACAGATCCTTCTTTGGATTTTGTCAAGAATCTCGAGGTGTACAACAGCAGAAATCAGATATGCGAAAAAACAAAAGTTCATTTTTAATCTATTTAACGCACGTTGAACTGTGAAATATGGTAACATTATGAGAATAAGTAGGATAGATATCTCTTAATCTTGGTCTTAAAGTGACTAAGATTGTAATTGACAATTGAAGAGTTTCTTTTTCAGGTGAGCCGTCTTGGCCCCGAAATATCTATGTCGGTCTGACTCTACATAATCTTTATCATCATGACCATTTGACGCTTTTTGATGAAGATTTTTTTTTTTTTAAATGTTTAAAAATCATAAAATTGTCTTTTTTTTTTCTTTTTTCTTGTAACATTTTGTCCATAACAACAGGTGGTTATCTGCCTGCCGACCATCGTGTGCGTAGCTGGAGATTCGGCACGCTTTGATGATATCTTTTGCAGTGTCATCGGTCAATTGTTTTCGGTGAGGAAGCGTATCAGACAAAATATATTATATAAATTGATAAGTAAATAGATATGTCAAAAAAAAAAAGGAAAAGTGACTACAATTGTTAGTTTTGCAGGGAACAAAACATTAAATAAAGGGGATTCAAAAAAAGAAATAAAAAAAAAACAAAACATCCGATGTTGACAAGCGACCGGAAATACAAGCATGCACTTTCAAAAAAAAAAAATGAAAAGAAAAAATAATAGAAATACAAAAAAAAAAAAAATAAATAAAAAAAAAAGCATACACAATCCTCCACGCACGTATGTAAAATTACTCCAGCTTGTCAAGCTTGCTTACAGTATATACTTTTGACAAAATGACGACAGAGGTTTTTCCATTTGCGCGACACAGGTGAGTAGGTAAATCGAAATGCTTTTTTGCAACGGTAAAGAATCTGACATAGATAGATAGATAGATAGATAGATAGATAGATACGAACAAGCTGAGATAGATAGATAGATAGATAGATGCGAACAAGCTGTGATAGATAGATAGATAGATAGATAATGAACAAAATGAGATAGATAAAAATAAACATAGATAGATAGATAGATACGAACAAGCTGAGATAGATATGAAACAGAATGAGATAGATAGATAGATAGATAGATAGATAGATACGAACAAGCTGAGATAGATAGATAGATAGATAGATAGATAGATAGATAGATAATGAACAAAATGAGATAGATAAAAATAAACATAGATAGATAGATACGAACAAGCTGAGATAGATAGATAGATAGATAGATAATGAACAAAATGAGATAGATAGATAGATAGATAGATAGATAGATACGAACAAGCTGAGATAGATAGATAGATAGATAGATAGATAGATAATGAACAAAATGAGATAGATAGATAAAAATAAACATAGATAGATAGATAGATAGATACGAACAAGCTGAAATAGATAGATTGATAGATAGATAGATAGATAGATAGATAATGAACAAAATGAGATAGATAGATAAAAATAAACATAGATAGATAGATAGATACGAATAAGCTGAGATAGATAGATAGATAGATAGATAGATAGATAGATGTTACACCAACTTTTTCCTGGTAAGCGTAACGTAGGCCGTCCTTGGTTACGCTTCAAGGCAAAACTTCAATACAATTTAATTGCTACAAACAACCTAATAGAGGACTTTGAACTTGCTGTTGAAAACCGAGCAGACTGGAGAAATACTAACGAGGTATAAATAACTTTGAAAAAAATCGGCTCAACCATCGGAGAGAATTAAGAATTAACACTAAATCTCGGCTTAATAGATCAACCCATATGACTGTCAATCCTTCAGTATGCCCTTCGTGTGGATTGGTTTGCAAATCCCATGCAGGATTGTTGTCTCATACAAAATATAAACGTAAAACTGAATTGAAAAATCCCTCATACGTCGAAAACGGCGGGAGAGTCCATCATATATATATATACACACACACACACACACATATATATATATATATATATATTAAAAATGAGGAGGTCAGCGGATTCAACTGACCTCTTGATTTTTAATTTTAAATGGGCTACATGTTACTTTTACTTTTATTTTATTTTTTTCACACGTGTATTGACCACATTTTTAATACTACTGTTTCCTGGTCAGATTCAACTCTGATCATTAACCTTTATATATATATATATATATATATATATATATATATATATATATTGTTATGGTCAGGTTCCTTGTCCCACGGTGATGGTCCATGGTAGAACCAATAAAGAACTCGAATACGGATATGGAATAACAGATATATTACAAACAGGAATATATACAGAGAGGTAGAATGTGTTAGTACGAACAATCAGGTTTAGTAGGGAGAACAATGTAGTCTCGACCAGTATCACTATTCCAATGTCTTGTAGTAATTGTCTGAATGCGACTCTATTTCGGACTGCCTCTGACTCGACTGATTGACTCGCTCGCTCTGACTGACTGACTGACAGACTTCTGACGGACTTCACTCCTGACTTCAGACTGAAGAATATTTAATCCCCTCCCACGAGGGTATCATGTGGCACAAGACTTTTTAATGTGGGATCGGCCAAAAATATGCCCTTTGAACCTGTATAAACGGTTTACCTCCCCGAAAGAGATTCCGTCCTTCGGCGTAGCCTCGTTCAGCTTCCTCCCGGCGCGAAGGCAGAGAGTTCAACCGATCAGCCGGTTGTCCGACTTCAGACTGAACTCTCTGCTTCCTCTTGAGGCGCAGTATTTATTTCGTATGGAATAGTCCATTATGTTATTATGGGTAAGGTCCCATAACATATATATATATATATATATATATATATATATATATATATATATATATATATATATATATAGAGAGAGAGGGAGAGAGAGAGAGTATTGGGGAAGCAAATCATTATTTAAACATATATTGTTGACTATAACAGACAATGGATATCTATTATGCCTGATCATGAGCCGTTCTAAACTCCGTATATTCACTTTATTTTCGGGTTGAGATTACATTTCAAACTTGTCACAATACATTACATTGCATCTAGACATATGGTTCTGGTGTTAATATTTTGGTCCATCACATGGTACGACGTCATAGAACCGCATCATATTCTGCGACCGCATACAAATATTCCATTTCAACATAACAGAATATCATCTTTGATGTTAAACATCTTTGTTTAAATTTCCGCATAACCACTCTGAAGATGGCTGATGTGAGGTTGTCCAAAATATAGATATATTTTATTAAGTTAATAAAATATATCTATATTTTGGACAAATTTTGTCTTTACTATCACCTGGAATTTGTACTGACTGTTTTGGTTGACGTCTATTTTTATCAATAATTTGACCAAGTAAAAACAATTCACATTTTTCTTTACTGAGCTTGAATTCGTACTTTCTTAGTTTTTTTCCAAAATTGTTTCCACATGCCCAACATGTTGTCCTTTATATGCACCTTTGTTTAAAATGTCGTCCAGAGACGCCACTGTGAAGTCGCAATCCGGAATGATGGTAGCCATTGCTTCTTGAAACGTAACTGGTGACACCTTTATATAAAAAGGAAGTCGTTTAAACTGATGTAATCCTCTGTGCGTGTTTATGGTCGTTAATTCTGAACATTCATTTTCAATCTGTATTTGTAAATACGCCTCAGAGAGATCCAGCTTTGAAAATATTCTTTCACCGTTTAACCGCGAAAATATTCCTCTGGACATAGTAATGGGTAGTTATATGTTTCTAAACAACTGTTTAATCTTGTCGAAAAATCCGCGAAAACACGAATCTTTTTTTCTTTACAGCGCTGGTGAAGCCCATTTTAATTTTTTCTATTTCATCAATTCTTTCGAGTCTGACCAACTCTTCGTTGTGAATGGTACACTCCGTTTCGGCTTAAATACAGGCGTCGAATCTTTTTTTAATCCGCCTTGAATTTTGAACACAGATTCAATTCAGTTAACGACACATCTAGAAAACTTTTTTAGTCTTCTTTAAGATTTTTGTTCTGACTTTTTAAATTGGTCGCTTGTCCACTTACGTTTTTACAATAAACGTTTATCGACAAATCCAAAATTTCAAATAGTTCCATCCAGTCAGTACCGAATAAATTCGTAGCATTTTTTAATAAATATGCTTTAGATTATACAAGCTTATTACAGAATAAGAGTTTACAAGTCGTTTCTCACAAAAATAAAATCTCGCCAGTTTCGAAGTCCTTTTTAATAAAGGCTTTCCAATTTATTTCCATATTGTTTCACTAATTACAGATATATCACTTCTAGTGTCCAGTAGCATTTTTACATCTACATTATTTATTTTCCCATTCACAAATTTCCTTTTGTTTTCTGTAACCATTTTCCAATGCTGTGTACGAATTTCTTCCTCTGAGAATCTTTATCTTCGTTTTGCAGTATGATTTTATATGTTCTCGTTTACCACACTTGTAACATTCTGCGTTTTTAAATGGACAGTTTTTTCCAAGATTTAATTTACCACATCTAAAAAAGGATTTATTCTTCTTTTTGTACATTTGTCCTTGGTTTGTACCAATGCACTTTTTTAAAAAAATTCTTCATCATCGTGTTTCAGACTTAGAATTGTTTGGCAATCAACCGCCATTTTATGCAGGGTAATATTACTGTTAGCTTGTATTTCAGCATCTTTTTTCTTAACCCTTTGAACATGCCTGTTATCATTTCCTTTATTCTAAACCTTTTACAATCTTTGTTGACAGTACCAGCATACGTGACAAAGTCTTCATCCTCTTTTTTGGTTAGATTCATGCAACTTTCAACGATCATCAAACAGAGAACTCGTCACTAAAGATTTTCGTCACAATGTGTAGGGTGTCTTCAAACCCGATTTCACCTGTTAATATTTTTTTCGGTAATATTTAGTTGCATTATTTGTCGTACCCTATCGGAACTATTTTTCTCTCATCTTCTCAACCCCTGCATTTCTGATTGTATATTTGTTCATATCTACCAAACTACGCAACAAGAAGTCAGTCCCTCCTAAGGATTGTATACAAATTCTGATATAGTGTTTTGGACGACGTCTGACGTAAAAGACGTTGAAAATGTTTTTGTTTTCTTCAGAAAAACTTCTTTTGTTGTTTTTGTAGTTATAACAACTGTTGATTTCTTAGTTGTTGCTGTTTCTGTTGTTGTTGAATTTTCTCTATATTCGCAAGAATATGTTTTACACCCAACAGAAAAAATATTTTTCTTCTACAGAACAAGAAAGTTTGTTTTTGTAGGAAACGTGGTTAAAATTCTTGTCGTCAGCCGTATCCTTGTTCCCGATAAAAAAGTATATTTTTTCCGTTCTTGTACACTCACTATGAGTTTCTAAAATCCTTGTAACTCCAGTTACAACTCGTATGAGTTCCTGAATCCTCGTTACTTTTATAAGTCGTAAGAGTTTCGAATCTTCGTTACGACGGTTATAAATCGCCTCTAGTTTCGAATCCCTCATCGCCATTGTTATGCTATGAAAGAAATAATACAAGAAGAAAAGAAACATTTAAGAAAGAGAGACTACAAAGAAAGAAAGAAAAAAGAAGCTGATTTCAAAGAAAGATAGAATCCCCAAAAAGAAAGAAATAAAGAATGAAAGAAAAAACAAGAATGAAAGACATGAAATAATTGCAAACAAGAAAAGATGAAAAATAAATAAATAAAACAGAAAGATCGAAAGAAATTGTTGTGACCTAGAGAAAGAAAGAAAGAAAGAAAGAAAGAAAGAAAGAAAGAAATACTGAAAAGACCGAGAAAGAAAGATTATTGTAACGTAGTGAAAGAAAGAAAGAAATACTGACAAGGGAAAGAAAGAAAGAAAGAAAGAAAGAAAGAAAGAAAGAAAGAGACAAAGATATACTGACAAAGGAAAGAAAGAAAGAAAGAAATGCTGAAAAGAGTGAGAAAAAAAGAAAATGTTGTAATCTAGAGAAAGAAAGAAAGAAAGAAAGAAAGAAAGAAAGAAAGAAAGAAAGAAAATCTCAAAAAAAGGCAAGAATGAAAGATGGAATGAAAAGAAAGAAAGAAAGAAAGAAAGAAAGAAAGAAATACTGACAAGGACAAGAAAGAAAGAAAGAAAGAAAGAAAGAAAGAAAGAAAGAAATACTGACAAGGGAAATAAATAAATAAATAAATAAATAAAGAAAGAAAGAAAGAAAGAAAGAAAGAAATAATGAAAGAAAGAAATGCTGAAAAGAGCGAGAAAGAAAGAAAATGTTGCAACCTAGAGAAAAAACGAAAGAAAATCTCAAGAAAAAGCAAGAATGAAAGATGGAATGAAAAGAAAGAAAGAAAGAAAGAAATACTGACAAGGGCGAGAAAGAAAGAATGAAAGAAAGAAAGAAAGAAAGAAAGAAAGAAAGAAAGAAAGAAAGAAATACTGACAAGGGAAATAAATAAATAAATAAAGAACGAAAGAAAGAAAGAAATGCTGAAAAGAGCGAGAAAGAAAGATTGTTGTAACCTAGTGAAAGAAAGAAAGAAATACTGACAAGGGAAAGAAAGAAAGAAAGAAAAAAAAGAAAAAAGTAATATATACTGACAAAGGAAAGAAAGAAAGAAATGCTGAAAAGAGCGAGAAAAAAAGAAAATGTTGTAACCTAGAGAAAGAAAAAAAGAAAGAAAACCTCAAGAAAAAGCAAGAATGAAAGATGGAATGAAAAGAAAGAAAAAAAGAAAGAAAGAAATACTGACAAGGGCAAGAAAGAAAGAAAGAAAGAAAGAAAGAAAGAAAGAAAGAAAGAAATACTGACAAGGGAAATAAATAAATAAATAAAGAACGAAAGAATGAAAGAAAGAAAGAAATGCTGAAAAGAGCGAGAAAGAAAGATTGTTGTAACCTAGTGAAAGAAAGAAAGAAATACTGACAAGGGCGAGAAAGAAAGAAAGAAAGAAAGAAAGAAAGAAAGAAAGAAAGAAATATTGACAAGGGCGAGAAAGAAAGAAAGAAAGAAAGAAAGAAAGAAAGAAAGAAAGAATGGAACAAGGGAAAGAAAGAAAGAAAGAAAGAAAGAAAGAAAGAAAGAAAGAAAGAAAGAATGGAACAAGGGAAAGAAAGAAAGAAAGAAAGAAAGAAAGAAAGAAAGAAAGAAATACTGACAAGTGCGAGAAAGAAAGAAAGAAAGAAAGAAAGAAAGAAAGAAAGAAAGAAAGAAATACTGACAAGTGCGAGAAAGAAAGAAAGAAAGAAAGAAATACTGATAAGTGCGAGAAAGAAAGAAAGAAAGAAAGAAAGAAAGAAAGAAATACTGACAATGGCGAGAAAGAAAGACCGAAAGAAATGCTAAAAAGAGCGAGAAAGAAGAAAGAAAGAAAGAAAGAAATTGTTGTAACCTAAAGAAAGAAAGAAAGAAAGAAGAAAGAAAGAAAGATATACTGACAATGGCGAGAATGAAAGAAAGAAATACTGAAACGAGCGAGAAAGAAAGAAAGAAACAAAATGTTGTAACCTAGACAGGGTTACTGAAAGAGGAATAACCAAAATGAAGGTTGGAAATGAAATGGTAATCTTTATAACATCGACAAAATACAATACTCGCCAGCGGTGTGAAGCATGTAAACCACTGCTAGTTGTTCCCTCCTACTTAGAAAAGTGTCCAACATATTTATGAGAATAGAGACATACCCATTAAGGTACGGTATGTAACAGAATGTAAGAAAATATTGATTGATTTATTTGTTTTTTTACGACTTATCAACCTATTGTAGATTATTTAAAACCGAAACATATCTTGGATTGTAAAAAAAAAATCATTTTTTTTGCCATACCCAAGTTCCTTATGATGGTCCCTTGGGTTGAACTTAATTTACTTCAGAAAAAAAAGCTCCTTATTGAATTTGTTTATTTAACGATATAATTATATTTTATTTGTTTCTTTACAGTTTATCAGCCTTTTGTGGGTTACTTAAAGTCGAAACATTTTGGATTGTAAGAATATTTTTTTGAATATGGCATTAACAATATTTTTAAAACAATATTTCCAAATACAAGCTCTACTATTTAAGCCATGAAAAAAAGGAGATGAATTCAATTATTTTCCAAGTGTATTTGCCTAGAAGTGAATGCAAGGAACCGGATAATGTTGGATAAACACATCACGACAAGAACTAAAATTGATAGCATATATAACAAGGGGGTGTAAGCCCCCAAAGTCCAACCCTTACCTCACAGTCGGTGGGGGGGTGTAAACGGTAGTTATGCCGCCCGGAACTTCGTTCCTGGTAGGGCCACCCAAGGCGGACAGGTCTGACACACACGCCGGCTAACAAGGGCTCTGGTGAAAATCCAAGGAGCGTCTGCAACGGTAATCGGCGGCTTCTGGTCGTTCCTGTCTCTGCGTCTGTGGGAATCCCGCGGCAAGCAAGAACGTTATCCGAGTAGGCCTGGGTACCCTACTTCTGTAATTTATCCCAAGAATCTTCTTCTCATAACAGGAAGAACCCGGCTCAATCCGCCCAGGGTGAATGCCGCATCAGTATCATCAGTATAACAGGGGGGGGTTGATACGTTGTTTTTAATGAATATGGGTTATTTAAAAACGAAATTTATTTTGGAATTTAAGAATTACTCATTTCTGGCAAACGAATATTGTATTAATAATTCTTTGAGAATAACAATGATTTTTTCCACATACAAGACGTACTATGAAACCCGTAGCTGGTGGAGGAGGGGTAGAGAAATGAATTTAGACCTTCCTCAAACGTATCTGCGCATAAGTAAACTTAACGAACCCGACAGGAATCCGAACTCGGCTTTCTTTAGTTCGCAACGGTATCAGTTGCACCACCCTCACACCCACCCCATCCCGGACCGTAATGACGAACACTTGACACTTTGATGACAGGATTTTTTTTTTTTTTTTTTTTGGGAGAGGAGACTATTTAGTCATGACCCCCCCTCCACCAACTTCTTGACCCTCACAAAGCATACATGAGAGACAAAGCTCAAAAGCTGAAATCCGACGAAATTCAGGGTTAGGGTTAGGGCGTAACGACACACCCTACCGCTTTTCTTTTCTTTTCTTTAGGAAATACTGCCCGGGAAACGGATCTCTAGATAACTGGATGGTCGAACATTTAAACAACGCTCACACACACGCACACGCACGCACACACGTGCGCTCGCGCGCACACACACACAGAGACACGCACGCACAAACCCACACACACAAACACTCTCTCTCTTTCTCCCTCATTCTCTCACTCTCTCTCATTCTCTCTCTTTCTATCACTATCTCTCTATCTCTCACTCTCGCTTGCCGCCCAGGTCATTATATATAAATATATTTGATGTATCTAGACAACAAATGTTCATTCAAACAAGCTTTTTTTTTTAAAGTTTATCTTTTCAATAAAATTTGTTTGAATAGATAGATTGCGCGATTCGCAAGGCAAATGTATTATGCAAGGCGAAAATGACAACAAAGGAGTGGCCAGGGCAGGGGAGAGTTTCCACCTGGGGGTACAGGGTGAGAATTTAAAAGAAAGATATGCAAGTCATGTGCAAATCCTTTAAATGTAAAAGCTAGAGAAATAACACCATGTTCTCAAAACACAAATGGAAAATAAAAAGGGTTAACACCAACAGTAGAAAGAAGATTTGTATTTTTTTTTTAAATCTTTCCATCTCAAGCAAGGCGGAAATTACACTAGTAAGCAGGGGCTTATAGAAAGTGAAAGTGAAAGAAAAAACAGATTATAGGTGGGAGGATAGAGGAAAGGACAAAAGAAGAACGGGATTCAAGAAGATGGAAGATAGCACTTAAATTTTTGAACATTGTAGTTAACAGGGAGGCAAGAAATCAGAATGGATTTCCAGAGGCGGGAAGTGTGAGAAAAGAAGACATGGTGGCTACATTTAACTATTTAAACTTAAAAGGGTGGGAATTAAATGCCAATCTAGTAACACGCTTAATTTCATGTATTCGGGGCAACAGAGATAAAAATTTCGTCATGGAATTATTTGTAGATTGTCGAGATGCCAAGTCAGGATCGATTACATCTTAATCGATCTTTGGGTTTTGCCAAAAAAAAACGAGATGAATAGCAAGACTACTAGACCAGACATGGCAGAAATATTCAATGCACGGACGAAAGGTTAATTTGTAAAAGGAATCTGACGAGAAAAGATTTCTGGCACGTCACATCGAGCCAACTTTGGATTTTGTCAAGAATCTCGAGGTAGACAACAGGAGAAATCTGACCAGATATGCCAACAGTAGCACACTTAAATTCATGTAGTCGGTGAGAATATGACTGAAGTCTAGATGCTTGGCCAGAATCGTTTACATTACAGATCCTTCTTTGGATTTTGTCAAAAATCTCGAGGTGTACAACAGCAGAGACCAGACCAGATTTGCCAACAGTAGCACTCTTAAATTCATGTAGTCGGTGAGAATATGACTGAAGTCTAGATGCTTGGTCAGAATCGATTACATTACAGATCCTTCTTTGGATTTTGTCAACAATCTCGAGGTGACAACAGCAGAGACCAGACCAGATATGCCAACAGTAGCACTCTTAAATTCATGTAGTCGGTGAGAATATGACTTCGAGATGCTTGGTCAGAATCAGATTACATTACAGATCCTTCTTTGATTTTGTCAAGAATCTCGAGGTGTACAACAGGAGAAATCTATGCCAACAGTAGCACTCTTAAATTCATGTAGTCGGTGAGAATATGACTGAAGTCGAGATACTTGGTCAGAATCAGATTACATTACAGATCCTTCTTTGGATTTTGTCAAGAATCACGAGGTGTACAACAGGAGAAACCAGACCAGATATACCAACAGTAGCACTCTTAAATTCATGTAGTCGGTGAGAATATGACTGAAGTCGAGATACTTGGTCAGAATCAGATTACATTACAGATCCTTCTTTGGATTTTGTCAACAATCATGAGGTGTACAACAGGAGAAACCAGACCAGATATGCCAACAGTAGCACACTTAAATTCATGTAGTCGGTGAGAATATGACTGAAGTCGAGATACTTGGTCAGAATCAGATTACATTACAGATCCTTCTTTGGATTTTGTCAAGAATCACGAGGTGTACAACAGGAGAAACCAGTCCAGATATGCCAACAGCAGCACTCTTAAATTCATGTAGTCGGTGAGAATATGACTGAAGTCGAGATGCTTGGTCAGAATCGATTATATTACAGATCCTTCTTTGGATTTTGTCAAGAATCTCGAGGTGTACAACAGGAGAAACCTGACCAGATATGCCAACAGTAGCACTCTTAAATTCATGTAGTCGGTGAGAATATGACTGAAGTCGAGATGCTTGGTCAGAATCAGATTACATTACAGATCCTTCTTTTGGATTTTGTCAAGAATCTCGAGGTGTACAACAGGAGAAACCAGAACAGATATGCCAACAGTAGCACTCTTAAATTCATGTAGTCGGTGAGAATATGACTGAAGTCGAGATACTTGGTCAGAAATCAGATTACATTACAGATCCTTCTTTGGATTTTGTCAAGAATCATGAGGTGTACAACAGGTGAAACCAGACCAGATATGCCAACAGTAGCACTAAATTCATGTAGTCGGTGAGAATATGACTGAAGTCGAGATACTTGTTCAGAATCAGATTACATTACAGATCCTTCTTTGATTTTGTCAAGAATCACGAGGTGTACAACAGGAGAAACCAGACCAGATATGCCAACAGCAGCACTCTTAAATTCATGTAGTCGGTGAGAATATGACTGAAGTCGAGATGCTTGGTCAGAATCGATTATATTACAGATCCTTCTTTGATTTTGTCAAGAATCTCGAGGTGTACAACAGGAGAAACCTGACCAGATATGCCAACAGTAGCACTCTTAAATTCATGTAGTCGGTGAGAATATGACTGAAGTCGAGATGCTTGGTCAGAATCGATTATATTACAGATCCTTCTTTGGATTTTGTCAAGAATCTCGAGGTGTACAACAGGAGAAAACCAGACCAGATATGCCAACAGTAGCACTCTTAAATTCATGTAGTCGGAGAATATGACTGAATAGATGGTCAGAATCAGATTACATTACAGATCCTTCTTTGATTTTGTCAAGAATCACGAGGTGTGGTCAGGAGAAAACCAGACCAGATATGCCAACAGTAGCAGAAATTCATGTAGTCGGTGAGAATATGACTTCGAGATGCTTGGTCAGAATCAGATTACATTACAGATCCTTCTTTGATTTTGTCAAGAATCTCGAGGTGTACAACAGGAGAAACCAGACCAGATATGCCAACAGTAGCACTCTTAAATTCATGTAGTCGGTGAGAATATGACTGAAGTCGAGATACTTGGTCAGAATCAGATTACATTACAGATCCTTCTTTGGATTTTGTCAAGAATCACGAGGTGTACAACAGGAGAAACCAGACCAGATATGCCAACAGTAGCACTCTTAAATTCATGTAGTCGGTGAGAATATGACTGAAGTCGAGATGCTTGGTCAGAATCGATTATATTACAGATCCTTCTTTGGATTTTGTCAAGAATCTCGAGGTGTACAACAGGAGAAACCTGACCAGATATGCCAACAGTAGCACTCTTAAATTCATGTAGTCGGTGAGAATATGACTGAAGTCGAGATGCTTGGTCAGAATCAGATTACATTACAGATCCTTCTTTGGATTTTGTCAAGAATCACGAGGTGTACAACAGGAGAAACCAGACCAGATATACCAACAGTAGCACTCTTAAATTCATGTAGTCGGTGAGAATATGACTGAAGTCGAGATGCTTGGTCAGAATCAGATTATATTACAGATCCTTCTTTGGATTTTGTCAAGAATCTCGAGGTGTACAACAGGAGAAACCAGACCAGATATGCCAACAGTAGCACTCTTAAATTCATGTAGTCGGTGAGAATATGACTGAAGTCGAGATGCTTGGTCAGAATCGATTATATTACAGATCCTTCTTTGGATTTTGTCAAGAATCTCGAGGTGTACAACAGGAGAAACCAGACCAGATATGCCAACAGTAGCACTCTTAAATTCATGTAGTCGGTGAGAATATGACTGAAGTCGAGATGCTTGGTCAGAATCAGATTACATTACAGATCCTTCTTTGGATTTTGTCAAGAATCTCGAGGTGTACAACAGGAGAAACCAGAACAGATATGCCAACAGTAGCACTCTTAAATTCATGTAGTCGGTGAGAATATGACTGAAGTCGAGATACTTGGTCAGAATCAGATTACATTACAGATCCTTCTTTGGATTTTGTCAAGAATCATGAGGTGTACAACAGGTGAAACCAGACCAGATATGCCAACAGTAGCACTCTTAAATTCATGTAGTCGGTGAGAATATGACTGAAGTCGAGATACTTGTTCAGAATCAGATTACATTACAGATCCTTCTTTGGATTTTGTCAAGAATCACGAGGTGTACACCAGGAGAAACCAGACCAGATATACCAACAGTAGCACTCTTTAAATTCATGTAGTCGGTGAGAATATGACTGAAGTCGAGATGCTTGGTCAGAATCGATTATATTACAGATCCTTCTTTGGATTTTGTCAAGAATCTCGAGGTGTACAACAGGAGAAACCTGACCAGATATGCCAACAGTAGCACTTAAATTGATGTAGTCGGTGAGAATATGACTGAAGTCGAGATGCTTGGTCAGAATCGATTATATTACAGATCCTTCTTTGGATTTTGTCAAGAATCTCGAGGTGTACAAACAGGAGAAACCTGACCAGATATGCCAACAGTAGCACTCTTAAATTCATGTAGTCGGTGAGAATATGACTGAAGTCGAGATACTTGGTCAGAATCAGATTACATTACAGATCCTTCTTTGGATTTTGTCAAGAATCACGAGGTGTACAACAGGAGAAACCAGACCAGATATGCCAACAGTAGCACTCTTAAATTCATGTAGTCGGTGAGAATATGACTGAAGTCGAGATGCTT